TAGAACCCCGCTCCATGGCCTGGCACCCGCTTAATACGCACACCCGCACGCCTGCGATAGCCTGGGACCTGAGCTCCATATAGGCGGGGGAAAAGGTAAAAAACGGGGCGAAACACCGAAAAGCGGTGGACTGGGGAGGGGAAAAGGGCGGCAGAGCCTGGAGACATGCCTTTGATGCCGCCCTTCCATAATACCCGTTTCTGGTATCATGCTCTGATTGGTCAAATGTTTTTTAATTTTGAGCAGTGAGTTGAACGATAACTCATTCAATTTGATTATAAAAGTAAAAAAAATTTCATTGTAGAACGCTACCGTTAAATTTCCAAAATGATGGACGATGTTTTTGCCTTTGAGAATCAGGGATCGCAGAATGATCAGAATTGATTGATTGAACAATGTCAGTTCTCTTTGCTTACAATTTGTTAATAGGATACTGTACAAGGAAAAGAAAAAATTATCGAAGAAAATGTTTTTTTGAAAAAAACTAATTAAATTAAGTAAAATTTAGAATTGAGAATGATCTTGACCTAGATGCATTTGATCATATCCTCCTGTAAGTTAATTTGCGCTATATAGATATTAATTATTATTATTATCATTATTATTATTATTAATATTAATATTATTCGATGCATTTGATCATATCCTCCTGTATGTTAATTTGCGCTGTATAAATATTAAATATCATTATTATCATTTAGAAGTCTTTGTCCAATGTATTGCTGATTGCAGCTGTTGTACATGACTTGGTACACTGCGCTTCTCAGTAAACACAGTTTGGTGTTGAAGAGGATGCCCTTGTCTCTAGTGCATGAGCGCTCCTTGGTGTGGTGGGATAGAGCTCGTCTGAGGGTGTAGGATTTGTGGGCAATGCGTACTGGGATGTTCTCTAATTTCTAAAAATGTTAGAGATCTTGTGATAGGCCATTGGCATTAGTTGATCACGTGATCAACTTTCGGTAAACACCAAAACAGTTCGCTTTTGAAAAATTTTGTTAGCACGAGCTGAAAGGGCATATTAAAATAAGGTAACCTGATAATTTTCAGCCGTATATCTCAAAAGTAGCGATTGCAACGGCCACCGAAAATAAAAAGGATTTGTATGAGCAAAATAACTTTTGCCACCCAGTCACGCTTGAATGGTTTTCTATACAAATCCTTGTAAATTTTGAAATTTTCAACCTGTCGTGAAATATTTCCTTAAGCATTACGCGGCTCAAGTCTCCTTTTAACTCATAACAGGCACTTTGAGTCCTTAAATGCGTAAGGGAAAGATTTAACGACAGTTTAAAAATTTCAGAATTTACAAGGAGAACACTGCTCAAGCGTGACTGGGTGGCAGCGGCCGTTGCAATCGCCACTTTTGAGATATACGAGAGAAAGTTTAGGTTACCTAATTTTAATATTTTTCAAAAGCGAACTGTTTTCTTGTTTACCGAAAAATGATCACGTGATCAACTAATGAGAAAGGCGTATTGAGTCGATCATGTACGAAATCTTAAGGTATGACCATACTGCGTTGGCAGGTCGGCAGGTGAAAGCTCAGAAAAAATTCCGTGGTTTTGTGCTGCTGTACTAGCCCAAAATGCAAATATAATTATGCTAGCAGTGCATTTTCGGAAATTAGTGGAAACCAGTAAGCTCGTAGTGACGAATAATGCCAAAATTTCTGATGGCACAACTTATCAAAGCCAGGAGCAGGTAGCCTACACTGTACAAAATCTTGATGCACCAGAACCGCCAAGGGAGAGGAAAACATCCGCGCCCCAGCGCCCCAGGGGACCTCGTTTTAAAGCGCAAAGACCGATGGGAAAGTTGCGAAGAAACCCGCCAAACTCTCAAGGGGCCTAGTTATTTTGTAGCATGGCTTCTTGGTGGATGTTGTGGCGATTGCACACCATGCGTCTTAGCCTCTGTTGATATTTTCTGCGGTAGAATAGTAAGTATTTGTCATTTCTTGCTTTGCTTGCATGTAGATGGTTTGGAAATTTGTTAGCCCATTATGCCTTAGCCATTTCTTTGCTATGCACAGGCAGTTGAATGAATCACTAATGTCCATGTGCTTTCCCAGATCGAGCTAAGAAATGTTGCATCGTTTGAAGGAATAAAAGGTCGTTTCTGGACCACTTCGGTGCCCTTTATTGTAATGCTGTATTTAGAAAATTAGTGCTCGAGCTCCACAAGCGTTTGATCCCTATTTTCATGTTAACTTAAATAAGCTTAGCTTTTGCTGGTCTTTTCTTTTAAATATTTTTAAAAAACTGGCTCGTGACGTTCCCTCGTGACGATCGATTTCGTCAAAAATTGTGAAATGTTTTTTTAAAAAGCGTTTACGTTTACATCTAATTTAGGTCCTTCTAATTTTTCAAAGTTTGTGGAACACATTAATTTAAAAACGCTGTTAGCCGATTATAACTTACAACTCATGCTATGAGATACAATGAAGCTTGTAATTGAAACAAAAGACACTGTAATTCATGACGACGATATTTACCCTGCGGTCGTTTCGCTTGAGTAAAAAATTTAGACAAGAGACACCCACCATGGACCTTATATTGCATCCAGACCAAAATATTAATAAACAGTTTTATTGACTCGTATGTTTGGCCCTTTACTTGAATAAGTTATTGTTTTCAACATTCTAAGCTTACGTGTGTTTCTTTAGCGTTGAAAGCCTCCTCTATTAATCTGGGCGTGATAAAAAAAGTTAAAATTGTCATACTAAATCGTTTTGGCGGAGCAAGCGCTTAAATTAATGCGGAAGAAATAGGAAAAAGCAATCGCTCCACAGTTTGCTACTGACTTAATAATACAGTAATCATTTGAAAAAAAATTTTTAAATGTTGATTACAAAGACCTATTGTTCTCAGATAAGATGGAAGATAACCCATGGTATAAATGTAGTTTTTCAAAAATTTTGAAACCACACATAACCTTCCTTCACCAGTCAAACTCTGTTATATTTTAACTAGTCATAGTTGACGCTACAGATGCCCCTGCTCTATGTAATGTTGGTCGATAGTATTCTTGGTTGTTGTGTAGCTCTTTGAAATATAACGATTCTTATTTTTATATTTTCACACATATTTCTTACAATAGGTGAGGTTAAAACAGGAAACGCAAGGTTCCGTGCACTGGTTCAGTTCAATATACACAGCTTTGATCAAAACATTCTCAGTTTTGAGAATAGCTTATTCTAAACCATAAGAAAAGATTTAGTTAGAAGTTGGGATTTTTTGCTAAATTCTCTTTCACTTTTTTTATACAGTTCATTTTAATTGCTGAAAAGTAAGACTTAGAAATTCAAACGTTTGATCTATTCATGCTCGCACATTCTAGTCTTTTTTTTTTACTTTTAAGACAATACTTTTAAATTTTTTTTTACAGAAGGACATCTCTGGGAAAGGGAATAAGTCGGCACAGAATTTAATTGTCGGCAAATTATTAATGTAATCGACCATTGTTCTGCTGGTGATAAGCTAGCAGTTGATTCACTTGTCTTGCTTGTTTGTGGACTGAGTCTTATTCCCCCAAAACTGAGAGAAAGAGTGTCTTGTCAATCGTTTCCAATCAAAGATATGAGAATGATAAACTCATTTCTGGTAAACTCTCCAAGTGTTTATTACATGTACACAGTTATATGCACCTTATAACTTCATCTGTGCTTAATGAGTGTGGAGTTGACTACAGTATGTTGCCCAGTATCCGGACACTTCAGTTTAAGATTGCAATAACTTTCCTTTGTTAATCGTAAGAGCTCTGAAATTTGGCCCAGAGAAAATCTATCTAGTCCTTAATGTGATGAAAGACAGTTTAACTTTTTTGCCTTTGTTTCCATCGCGAAGTTAATATTTTTGCAGAGCTCCTATGTTGCCCAGTATCCGGACACAACAATAACAACGTAACTGTACATAAATTTCGACAGGCAAGCGACTTATAAGCTTCTCTTGCAGTTGCAAAGTAGTCTGGCAATCGATTCCAAAAATATAACCTAGCATCGTGAAACAAAACATACGAAAAGAACGGGGTATGGTGGGGAACGCGAGCGGCTGTTTTAAAAATGGTATAATTCTTACTTCCTTGTCTAGGAACTTTTTCACTGATTTAAGGAAGGCAATAAAATTATCCGTGGACATGCCGAAGCCGCAATTTGCAAGCTCAATTAGCCAATCTGCAAACGACTTTCTTTCTTCATTTTTTATTTAAAAAAAAGCTTGGGGAAGGGACCTCAACCAGACGGTCAAAGGTCACTCTCCTGTTTAGTCTGACCTGCAGTGTTGATTTCTTCATGCTCAGTCCCCACAATAAGCCTGCTTTTCTAGCACTAATTCCTCCTTCTTTCACATCTCTCAATCCCTTTGTGACATTTTTCAGAGCGTTACAACCCCATTCTAGCAGTCACAACTGGGGAAAGTATGAGAATTCCAGGTTCAACTCAGACGCTTTCAGTTATGTATAGAAACTACAGTCACGCGAAACAAGACGTGCACACGAAATCAACTCGCCTCTGAATGAGTGAAGAAAATTTCCATACGGAGTTGAGTAGAATTACATTTTATGGCTATATCATATATCCTAAGCTTTTATTGTAGTTATTGATATGAAATAAATCTTATCCGGATAATGTACACAGCTAATTCATCGATTCTGTACAGCAAAGAAAAAACTGTCCGGATACTGGGCACATGACATCAAAACTTTGTGCATGTTTCTGGCCTCCGTTATTCCAAACAAATCGAATTTCAAGAAGAGTTAATAAACTTTCTGAAAACCTGACTTCCTTAAGTATCTTCACTTTAAAAATAAAACAGTTTCTTTGAAAATTTCACACATTACCCTCCCTTTTATGAGCAGCACTAATTTTACTGCGCAGTAAACAGCAGAAATATTAGCCATGAAAAGTTTACTCATCTGAACAGAACGGCGTCTTCCTTGACTGTTTCGCAAGCTTTCAAATCGCCAAAACTTTTATCTTGAAGCTGAAATGTTCAGCTTTCATTCGAAATACTTCGTTTACCGAGAACTGAAAAGGGCGCCTCAAAAATTGAGTTTTTGTTTTAAGTGTCCGGATACTGGTACCGTCCGGATACTGGGCAACATACTGTAATGTGTTTTTTCAAGCGTTTGATAATTCAAACCAATTTTCTTTTTCTAAGGTGGTTTGAAAAATTGGCTTCATGGGCTATTGACTCAGAGGCCATGAGGGCGAGAGGAATAATTGTTTTAGAAAAATCAAACTAGTTGGTCAAAAATATTGAGAATAAAAAAATTTTAGCTAGTTAAAAGCTACATGTAGATTTTAATCCTTTTTTGCCGCCAAAAAGCCCGCGCTTTTCGCTACTTGGGGGCTATAACATATAGCCAAGTAGCCGCTCAACCAATCAGAACACAGCATTGATAATAGACCACTAGTTGAATTATTTTTACTAAAGTAAAGTATTTAGATGTATAATTATTAAAGTCAGAGTTGCGGTATTGTTGTTGTTGTTGTTTATTTTTTGTCCATCAATTTTAAACCAAATCTTGATGATTTTTGTTAAGTTCCTATCTGGTACATAGTGCTTTGTAATAAATAACAGTTGTAAGTCAGTGTGCTTGTGTTGCAACCAGCATTAGTTAATTTTAAAAGTGAAAATTTAATGATTATTTAAAGTATTCTTTAATCACAGAAATTTCCAACGTGCCTTAAATTTGGTTCTGAGTGTACTGTTAGTGTTGCTAACAATGACTTTTCCCTATTTTATAGGTGAGGTATTGGCAGAAAACTTCCAAACTTTGGAAATGGCACTAGCTTCACCATCACAAAGTGCACCAGATATACAAAGAGTCCTCTTGAGGCGGCCTTCACAAAGCTCATCTCCTTCTCTCATCACCCCAGAGGTCCAGGCTGTTGATTTTTGTCGTAGTAAACCCAAATTAGTCGAACTTGAAAAGATGCTGTTTTCTCTAGCCAATGGCAGTGTTAGTTTACAAGAGGCAAAAGACAGCTGCTTATCCTTGTTATGTGACAGCATTAACACGAAGGAAATCTTTAATGTTTTTTGCTCCTGTAGTTGGACGGACCGATACAGAGATCCTGCAATCTCTCAGCTTTTTTATGAACTTGTAAATATCCAGCAAGATAGCAGTGATTATGCACTATTGCTGAATGAACTAGAGATTGCATGTGAAGAATTGCTGAAAGTATTAACTCATCTTGGAACTCCAAACACTCTGCAATTCAACATTGTTTCTCTCTTGCATAATCTAAGTAGATTGGATGATCTCCCACAATCACATCTGGAGGCTGTGCAGAGTTACCTTGAGGAGATTGCGAGGGCCTTGTGGCCTTACAGCAGACCTTCTGCCCCTGATTTGTGGATGAGTGAGGCCTTTTGTGACGCTCAGTGTGATGTCCTTAAAGCTTGTGGTACATTTCTTGAAGCTAAGTGCCCTGTAAATACAGAAAAAACATTCCAGAAGATCAGTTCCAAGCTGATTTCTAGTGAACTCTCGCAGTATTCCAGGTTTCGATTGCTTGAAATTCAGGAGCTGCGATCTTCTGGCTGGAAACTTCCTGTGGCAGCAGTGAATTATTACAATGCTACATATCAAAAGGTACATTGTAAGAATGATTTATAATGGTAATAGGACTGAGTGGAGTCCAATTGGGTCTGTAATCATACGAGTGATCGACAAATCACGAGTTCAGTATGATTACAGACTGAATTGGATGACACAAAGTTCTGTTACCAATTAATCATAACTATAACAAAATTTGTGATATTTTAGGCTTCTTTTTGAAATCAAAATACAAGAAATTCTAAGAGTTTTTTTTGCTAGCCATTGAAGTGTGTACATGTGATGGCATGTACTGTCCAAGTGCTAAGACATGTTGGCACTGTCCTATTACACTGTCCTGTTAGTGCTGAAATCAGCACAGTTGATAGCCTATCTGATTTGAGAATTAAAGTCATATAGTGACGATTATTAACATTATTGTACAACTGTATCTACTAATCTTAGTTAAGGATGACTTGTGGCAAGGCTGTTTTAGCACTGTGCTGGTTCTTGTGATATTTTCTATTAATATTCTTGTAGCATTTTGATAGAATGTCAAGCATTATTAATTTTGATCAAAACACTTTTCATAATTTTTAGTCCAAAAAATACCATGCTTATTAATGTGTGAATTTTATCCAAATCTTGTACACATGTAAAGTCACTCTCACCCTAGGGACACTTTGTTATTACAGGTACCCTGATTATAAGAGGCCTCACAAGGCCTCACAATATTGGTGAGGAAAACGATGAAGAAACAAAGTTCACAATGTAACCTCAACACAAAACAAAAGACCTGCAACATATAGGGGTCCACTGAAATTGGAGGTTTTAGACAGTAGCTAAACTTTGGGAAAAGTTACATGCATTTGACTGAAACTCCTGTTATTACACGTACATAATCCTGCTTATGTACACTTTTTTAGGTGCCAACAGCATAATGTTATTGTTCTGGCTCTCGTTATAACATACACATAAACCAAGCAGTCTCTATTCAGTTAATGGTACAGTTTCTTATGGAACAGGTCCCTTTGGTAAATACCAAAACTCTTGGATTATGACTGCAGATAAAAATGTTGATAAAAGTTGATGTAACCTACATGTTAGCATGCGAACGACAGACGTTTCTCCTCGCTCATAGCCGCTAAGGGATGTTTCTCGAGGAGGAACGTCTGTGACTCAGCCACAGAAATTCCATACTGATGATGTAAATCAATGTTTATATAATAAATCTGGTAGTCATAGGGTTTTAAATGCAAATTTGTTCAATTTTATGTTTCTCCTGGTTGATTTTGGTGAAGTGTTTTGTTCATCTGTGAATGAGCTCCAGCAAAACTCAAATGCTACTTTAAGAAAAGACTATATTCCACAAATATTGACTGTTTTGTTAGAGATTCATCGCATTTACATTTGACCTTTGCAGCCTTTTGTCTTTTGTCTGTCATTTGTAAACAATAGCGAAAACAATGAATCTACTCCATCAACCAATTAGCGCTTCTGACTGGATTCCAGACAAATTTTGCGTCATCAGTATGGAATTTCTCTCGCTGAGTTGCAGACGTTCCTCCTCGTGAAACGTTCCTCAGTGGTGATGAGCGAGTAGAAACATCTGCGGTTCGCAGGCTACCTACAATGTAGTCATAAGAAATTTGTGCCAGCAGTATCCAACCATGGTTTATTTTGTCTTGAACAGCTGAGGAACCAACCTAGAGGGAACCAAACAATCAGTAATTCTACAGGACCTTTAAAAAATGGTTTGAAAAGGATTAATTCCATGGAGGAAAAGAAAAGCCAAAATACCGGCAAACCAGTGACTGTGCTGAGAATAAAAGAGAGTGATCTAAGAATGTCATTTCAAAACTTGGATGAAGACTTTTCTCCAAGAGAAGAAGTTGTTAAAGAGCAACATGTTTTGGTAGATCACAACCAGCGTTCATCCTCTAGTGATGAAAAATTGCCAGTGTCGACCCAAAAGAGAGTATCTGTTGGTTTTGGCAATGAGAGCTTCAGGACCACTCCTGTCAATAAGACCTTGAGTGACTCAAACCTTTGCCAAACGGATCTGATTGCTAAAAAGCTTCAAAGTGAGAAACTTTCTTCACCTCCATGCAGTGCAGTAGATACTAAATTAAGAGCCCCTTTTGAGAATATGTCCAGCAATGGAAGACAACAGGATATGAATGTGGGTGCCGAAACAAATCCTTCGACCCCACTTTCTTATAATTCCACCGGGCATGTTGTGGAACGCGTGTCATCTCCATGCAGCAGTGATGACAGTGATGATGTTTTTACTAACACAGTTGCAAGGGACAAAATCATCCCGGCAATTCGTAGAGGTGACTTCAAAAAAGCACGGCGACCCTTCAAGAGTGACTCTTCGTTGCCCTCAACCACTAAAAGTCTGGAGAATTATTTAGATTCCAAAAAAAGTAACTGGAAGGTTGAACCTACAGTGTGCAGTCAAACAATTGAGTTGGTGACATCTGATGCAAAAGATCAGCTCGAAAGTGACTCCTGCTCATTTCAGGTTGCCGATGGTGCACATGTATCTGATAATAATTCAGACAGCCCGATTGTTGCTGAAGTGGATCATGGCACCAATACATGTAGAACCTCAAGTGAATGGGAAGTTGAAGAGGGATCAAAAGTTAATGCTAACGAAGAGAGTACAGAAAGTGTAAGCTTGCACAAAACTGCTGATAAAGGTGACCCTAGCACCCACCACACTACAAAAGAACAGACAGCTCTAAGAGCATCAATTGGTGATGAAACACTTGAAGGTGCCAAAGGTGTTAGCTTATGTAATGAAGCAGATAGCTGGAGGGAAAGACCATCCGAGAATAAGACACAACCACAAAACACAACTAACGTCAATGATACATCTAAAGAAAATTGGAGAGATAGTTGTAGAAAGGTTTCAAGTTCAGCAGACTTTTGGGGAAGTGGCTCAGGTAACGAGAACTGGCGTTTTAATAAATCAGTGAGTGTTGATGAGACAACAAAGGATACAACCCCTTCATCAAGTGAGCATTCTAAAAGATACAGCACTGGTGACATTAAGTATGAACGTCAGGATTCAGATGAGAAAGGTTTGTTCATTTAGAAAGAAAGTGTACTTTTACTGCACTTACATGTACAGTGTATGTACAGTCATTTATTTATTCATTAACTGCCTCAGCTACAACCTTCTTTGCTCAGTGGACCTGCACCTTGTTATTTAATCATTAAGTCCATTGTTTGGGTCTTGCTGACGCAGCTTCTTTTTTGTTGAGACAGAGATACAGTCGAATCCCTTGTGAGCAACCACCCAAAATGCAAAGACTGAGTGGTCGTTTATGGGAGGTGCCCGTTAACAAGAATCGAACCATGGGGTGTCTCTTCCGAGAGCAGGCCCAGGCACATGTACTTTCTGGAAGATAATTTATTGTGTGCACTGTCACAAAGTTAGGACGTGTAGTTCCATGTTGTCACCAAAGTTCTTTGTATTATTCTAAGTAACATAGTGCTCACAGCGAGGATAGAGATCAGAGCATGCGTCAAGTGGTCGCTTACAACAGGTTAAAAACAATGGAAAATCATTAACCCTCAGGCCCAAAAAGACGTCGTGGTTTCTTACAGGAGATGGTTGTTTACTAGAGGTTCCAAGTGTAAGGCTTTGACTGGGAAATGTTTGGTGTTTTGGATTGGCGGTTGCTTATGGGGGGTGGTCGCTTATGAGAGGTGGTTGCACATGAAGGCTTAACTGTAAATTATCAGAAAATATTTTCTTTGTCCTCATTAAATGTAAAAGACAGCAAGTTGGTAGGAGAGAATGGGGTGCAGGTATGTCACTAAGGCCTGGGAGCCAGAATTCTCCCGCTACTTTCATAGGAAACAAAAGAAACAATTATTATTCCTAGCTGTTCAATTCCCTACCTACAAATTGCATGATAAAAATATACTTGACAATTTGAAATCTTCACAATAGCCTTGAAGATGCAAATAAGTTGAAAAAATAAATAAATAATAATCAAAGAGCAAGATTTTGCTCCATATTAACTAAGGAAGATCACCATACATGTACATGTATGCATGCATGCTAGGAGTTACATGTATTTCTGTTCTTCTTTGGTTGTTTCTTTTGGTGCTTTGCACACAAGACATGTGCAGTAATGGCGCCACTAGTTTGGTCTTAATTTCATTATTAAATACCTGCTCATTAACCTCTTTCATAACAAATACGGTTTGATTGAATTAATTAAACAGTGTTCTGTAGAGTCAACAAATGCCACGTCCATCAATAAAAGGTGAAATAAACTCTTTGTGCTCCCCTTTGCTACTGAACTGTATAAAAAAAGTTACAGTAAAATTAGTACTTTTAAGTCTGAAAGACAAGATGGAGTTCAATCATTTTTTAATTCAAGCAGTGCAACTTAAGTTTGAAATAAACATCAAAGGGGTATACATGTGGTTGAAAAAAAAAAAAAAGATTACGTGTATGGTACTGGTACCCTACATATAGCTGCTCTGTACTGTCAGATTCTCAGTATACATGTACAATAAATTATGCTTGTATGATTATAGTGCAGGTCAAAATGAAATTCAGGTTTAAAAATTGTTTCATTCTCAATTACCTTGTCCCCCAGCCCTAACTTTTCATTATTATGAATAGCAAGGGTTGAGAAACAAAGAAAACTGAGAATAAAACCAGCCTAAGGGTGAGATTTTGAAAGCCTGAAATTACTTGCTATACTCGATTGTGAAGCCGCCTACGTTTACATCCTAGCTGTCTACTTTAAATCTCCATGAGAACCTTGTGTAGATACCGTATCTGCTTTTCTTTTTATAGTTAAAAGAACCAGAGGAGGGTTTGGGCTTCCTACACAGGCTACCCATGATAGCAAGGAAACTTTAAGGTAATATTATATCACTCTCCAGAGGGCTCAAAATTGCAACCTATTATAGTAACATTTTTAACTTAATATTCTGCTGGTGATTTACATGTAATCTTTCGGAAAAGTTTGTGAAAGAACTTTGTCATGATACAATTATTTTTAAGTGTTTTGCATGCTGTAAAAAAACTGGGATGAGGATGCTTTTAACTTTCTTACTTATTTCTAGGTGATTAATTGTATGTGTCAGACTTTCGCAAAAACTGCAAAGCAAATAACAAAGCTTAACCCGAAAATTACCCCTATGTTGCAGGCAAAAAACTTGTTTCAATGTCAAAGCATTAACTAGATTTGGGGAATAAAAATATTAGATGTAAATATTGTTGGTGGCTTTACAGGTGTATTTTCAATTTTCAGCCCTTCCATTTATTTATTTTTCTTGAAAGGATTTGCAGTGATAGCAGCGTGAAAATAGGCCCAAGTAACTTCTATGTTAAACTGGTAAAAGGTTAATTGCTTTATTTTTGCCATTGTAGTGAGGAAAATCTTGTGGCATCTGAATCAGAACTTCTTGAAATTCAAATTAGTGAAGAGGAAAACCAAGGTGTGTTATTTGATACACTGTACATCTGTCAGATGCCCTGTCTGATGCAACTTTACTTCTAATAAATTGTTTTAAAATAATTTTTGTTTGTTTTTTCTATACTTGAGTATCAGAAAAAAGAGATCATATTATTTTTTTTTCTCTCTCAGCTCTTCACTGGAGGAAAGTTAAAGATATCCAGGTATTTTTATTCTTCCTCAAAGTATACGCAGTTTTTTGTTACAAAATTCTAACCACAAAATCAATGATGATACATGTCTTCCTTACTGTATGTTAACAACTGTGTCGCAAAGTGGGAGTTGGGTGGCTGAGATATCAAGGAGCTTCCACTAATGGCAGCCAGCTCCTAGGAGGAGAACGCTCCCATGGCTTGCAAATCCTGGCAACCTAGCGATAAGCCCCCAAACAGAAGGGAAGAAAGCAGGCACCGTCACACTGAGCAAGTCACTGTAAAGAGGGAAGGGACCAGGGGGGTGGGAGGGGGGCGGTGGCTATAAACTGAGTCCCTATGATTGAGATGCCAAGGCTGAGTAAATGCTCGCTAAAAACTGCCCAAACACGCCAAAAATGCGAGAACGCTAAAAATAATTACAAGCTAGAAGAAAAATGCCCTGGAAACTGCTAATAACTGGCTAGACATGCCAGAATGCTGAAAATACACTAGAAAGTGCTACAACACACACAAGAGCAAGAGCACTTGGGATACTGGTGTATCTGCATCTCGCAACACCGCTGGCCAGCAAGATAAGGCTAGCACACCTTGTTGTTAATTCTGTTAAATTGCATTTAACTGCATTATATAACGTTTACAATCAAACTATGCCAAGTAAAAGAACCATCTTGAATAAAAAAAATTCAGATTGATCACCAGTACTGCACACGTACAAATGTATAACCCTGTTCTTTGCAATGACAGTGTAGAATGCTTAATCAAGCTCACTGGGAAACCAAGCCAACTGCAAGGCAGTGATGTTATCTGATACAAATAAGTCATTTTACTGTTGCAGTCAGTTTCAATTTTCCAAGAAAGGTTCTTAACTAAATTGCTTGTTTGTAGATTGACACAGGTTGTAGGATATTTCACAACAGAGAGAAATGTATAGTGGAGATTAGAGGTGACCCTGAACAGTGCAAGGTACTAGTAAATTTAAGCAGTGTAAAGTGACTACACAGAGAAATGTTTAGATTTAATTTTGCCACACTTTAACCGAATTGACAGGTACATGTAAGGCCTACACAACAGAGCATGGCTTCAAGTCAATCGCTGCCTTAAGAAAGGCAATTGGGGTGGGGGGGGGGGGGGGCTCACACCTTAAGCAACAACAATGATGACAGCATCAAGAAGGTCAAAAACAGTTGGTTTTATAACCAGAACAACAACTTTGTACTTGTGTTTCATGTTTTGGTTTATTTCTTTGAAATCCATTGCATGACTATGATGTGCCTAACGCTTTCTGCTGTTTCATTGGCAAGTAGTCAGGTGGCTAAAGGCTCAGATCTATACAGAGTGGACAAAAGCACCAAACTCTGCATGGTTGTAGCTTAGGGTATGTTAGTCAATATTAGGATCGGTGCCCACAGCTACCTCTTCAGGATTTGCAGCAACTGCTCGCTGAAGTTCTTCAACAACCTTCCATGATGGGTGGCCTGTGCCGAAAATTGCAATCACTTGTTTTTTGCCATTTTTTGATGAAAATCACATAAAAAGGGAAGTAGATGGAAAAAGAATAACTGTATTAATACTATTATTATTGAAACCAATGACTAAAACAAGTCAACTTAATGATATAGCAATTATGGTATACCATGGTGGGTATCCTGTGCTACAAATATCAATTCCTTGATTTTTGCCATTATTTTGATGAAAATCACATGAAAGACAAGAAAATAAACAAAGAAATTGTATTATTATTGAAACCAATGACAAAAACAAGACAACTAAATGGAAAATCCAAGGAAGATGTTTTCAGACGTGTACTCAGTCCCAAATAGCCTTTCAAGATGGCGGCTTGAAGGTGTCTTTTCATGGACTGTAAGTATCTCCTAGAATAAATTGCCGTTTTTTAGGGGAAATTGTGCACAATTTGAATCACGACAGGTTTAAGTGAAGTTTTCAGCTCTTCTTGGGGATAAATTTGTTATCGAAAGCTACATTTTTGCTTCACATTTTGTGCAGATTATGAATGACTATACTGAGTTTATTGACCTACTGGTTAGTTAAAGGTTTCTGAAGCTGAGATGTTTTCTACACACCAGGATGGATATTAACTGGGATCGTTGTTATATTTGCCAAGAATCAACAAAAGAAGATTTGAGAAGCCCACTGGTTTAATGGTACAAGCATTAATTTATAGATTGCTCCTTGAAAATGTACTAAAAAGGCTGAAGTGCGAAATAGGCCGCACATGTCAGAGGAACGCAAGAAGAAAAGTGGAGCAGCTTAGAAGGTCGAGGAAGACGAGAAATTAAATAAATCAAGAGCATTTGTTGAACTCACTGAGTACAGAGCAAATGCAGTGGACAATGATACACATTTCTTTATACTTGCCAAACTTCATATTAAGCGGTATTCGTTACAAACAGAGGCACACACTTTGCAGTCCCCCTATAGTGTCAGTCTTACAAGCTCGTTTGGTGCCACAATCTCCAACTGGCTGTTTCTGATCTGCTTTAACATGCTTTTTTCTCTTTTCTAGTTTGCTTTTTGTAATTTGGACGTAAGGTGACAGGATTGATGCCACTTTGCACTTCAGTAGCGTGTTTACTACTGTAGTGATTTCAATATGAAACTTAATGGCAACCAGACGGCACAGTCCTCTTTCTTGAATTCTAGTAAATTGTCAAGGAGCGTTCTATAAAAAATTATTCTGTTAAATTAATGGGTTTCTCAGATCCTCTCTTTTCGATTCTCACCCTAGGTAAATATGACAACGATCCCAACTGATTTCCATCTTGGTGTGTAGAAACTAGTTTAATCTCAATCATGATAAGACTGAAATCATGCTTATCTTGTCGATGTACCGTAATCGTCCACCCTTTAGCGACGTCATTATGGGTAATGCAAGGCTAAGAACCGCCACCAACAAAGCCTGGGAGTAGTATTTGATGACAACTTGCTGTTTGACGCACACGTCTCAGCATTCTTTTGCAGATTATCGTTTCACCAACTCAGGAATGTATCAAAGATAAGAAAGTGTCTCACACAGGAGTCTAGTGAAATTGCAGTGCATGCTTTTATTACATCTAAAACAGACTATTTATTGCAATTCTTTGCTCTATGGTTGTAGGAAAATGCACTTGAAGGAACTTTTAATAATATGTTCAGACACTGGCCCTAGGATCGTTACTCGGACTCGTAAACTTTGCGAACACATCATTTATTTGACCTTCACTGGCTTCCTGTTAGTTATCACGTTGTTTTTAAACTTATTTTGTCAGTTTTCAAATCACTTATTTAATACCCTTCCACCTAGCAATCTAGCGGACAGTTATCGAAGGCCTTCCAGGAACTTGTGGTCCGCATCTCAGCAGCTCTTAGAACAACCTCGAAAACTCACGGGGAAAAGACTTTTTCAGTGTGCCCCCCTAAACTCTGGAACTCACTACCATTAGCTAGATTTTCACAAGTCACCATCTTTAGCCAGTTGAAAGAAAGGACTGAGAACATATCTTTTTACGCAATTTTTAGAGAGTAAGTCAGTACTTTTGTAAAACGTCTTTAATATCTGCAGATCATATACCTATACTTAATTATAGAATGTATATTTAGTTTTTTGCACGACTTATTATCATTATATATAAACTTTAAAGGCAAAATAACTTTAAAACAGATGAATTCTTGTTCTTTGTGAATTGCAAATAGATTTTAATACATGTTATTTCATGCTCGAGATATAATTTTTTTTCTTCTTTAACATTGTAAAACACCATGCGCTCAGGATATGAGCGCTATAGAAAGAAGCTATTTTTACTATTATTAATTTTAACCAGTACGAAAATAAACTCAGTATAGTCATTCATAATCGGCACAAAATGTGAAGAGAAAATGTAGCTTTCGATAACAAATTTATCACCAAGAAGAACTTAAAATTCACTTAAACCTGTCGTGGTTCAAATTGTATACAATTTCCCCTAAAAAACGGCAATTTATTCTAGTAGATACTTACAGTCCATGAAAAGACACAACCGCCACCTTGAAAGGCTATTTGGGACTGAGTACGCGTCTGAAAACATCTTCCTTGGATTTTCCATTTAGTTGGCATGTTTTTTTTCCATTGGGTTCAATAAAAAATACAATTTCTTTTTTATTTTCATGTCCTTCATGTTATTTTCATCAAAATAATGGCAAAAAAAAGGAACTGATTTTTTTAGCACAGGGCACCCACCATGGTACATCATAATTGCTATATCATTAAGTCGACTTGTTTTAGTCATTGGTTTCAGTAATAATAGTATTAATACAGTTATTCTTTTTCCATTCACTTCCCTTTTTATGTGATTTTCATCAAAAAATGGCAAAAAACAAGTGATTGCAATTTTCGGCACAGGCCACCCATCATGGAAGGTTGTTGAAGAACTTCAGCGAGCAGTTGCTGCAAATCCTGAAGAGGTAGCTGTGGGCACCGATCCTAATATTGACTAAAATACCCTAAGCTACAACCATGCAAAGTTTGGTGCTTTTGTCCGCTCTGTATAGATCTCGCCAAAATTTTGCACTAAGCCACCGGACTAAAGGAAATGTGGAGGTTGTAAACATCACCAAGTTTTTTTGTGAAATGTTACCAGATGCTTACTGCAGAGTAATTATGCAACAGGTTTCTAGCTTTTGGATTGGCTCTATCAACACTTCTGTTGTTAATATCAGCATGAACTGTTTTCCATACATTCCTTCTGCTGTTAATGAGCAGGGGCAATTTAATAAAACTTTTACACGTGTAATTTACAAGTGTAGCCATTGTTTTAGAGTATGAAAACAACAGTTACACTTGTGAATTACACTTGTAAAAGTTTTATTAAATTGACCTCAGAATAGGTATATAAACACTGACTTTTTTGGTGATTGCTTCCCCCATTCTCGTGATGTCAATGTTTGATAAGGCAGGGATATTTGTAGAAGAATAAAATTTAGCTGTTGGCAACTATAAGGTTACATCGCTCATCTCCCATCTTTGTTGCTTGCTTTCACTCTCTTTGCGAGGATCCCTCACACCTTTGGCGCTCTAAGAGTCAACTTGTCACAAGTCTAAGGATTTGATTACTCCTTACTTACTTTTTGGTGTGGTGAATACATCTCCGCTTAAGTTCTCTGCCAGAATGTCAAAAAGTGATAATGGGAAAAAGAATGTGGAGAACAAAGGTACAGAAATCTGACCAATGTGAAACTGATATTGTCTGTTTTATCTCCTTCAGGTTGCCAAGAAGAGGGTGTACAGTGTTGTAGCTGCACTTCAGGAAGAGTTTGTAAGTTAAATAAAGACCTAAGGACATGTTACTTTACTGTAGTTTCAGGGCTGTTAATTCATCTTTTGAGAAAGGAAAAATGCCTGACCAAGTCACTATTTCAGTCAGACAAACTAGAAAAGTTGTCAGGCATACAACTGTACATTATAATTATCGGTTGTCACTCTGACTGAGGGATAAATTCTGTCAGACATCAGTAAATTTTAGTGAGACATGGTCAGACGACCGACTGTTATTTGCAGCTTTGAGTTTACTGCAGTGTATATTGCAGACTAGAAAATGTTTTTTTCTACTCAGACAAGTACATTCTTTGGTGTTCTCAATGGCAGTGGCCATATGAAAACTAAATGAATTGTACAAAGGATGATTAACTTGACATCAAGCTACATGTAGGGTTGATTTTTAATCAGAATGTTATTGATAACCGGAATTTAATTCCAAGTTGTGGTTTTAGAAACATAACCTTGTGATAGTGCTGACTGGTTTTTTGGGTAGTATATACACACTGATAAATATCCAAATAAATTACGATAAATAATCGCTACTAATGCAGTCAGTAAAGTTTTTCATATTTTGTTTTCCACCAGGGTGCCCTTGTTCCACTGTCAGAAAAAATTCTTGAACATCTTCAAACAGAAGGTCGCAGTTTGCTAGCTGAAAGACTGGCCCTTTGCTCAGGAGCTAATGTCAAGATGATAAGCGGTAATTTTCTTTAGCTTTTATGGTACTTTGTTTCTGTGATGCTTTTGTGGCTGGTATAAAAGAGGAGGGGAGGGGAGGGGAGGGTTAAAAGCTAGTGGAGATTCCCCTCCAACCCTTCCCTGTATACTACTGAATGTGGTGTAGCAAGAAGGGGGGAAATTATTTCTTTTATTTTGCTTGTTCTTGTAATCTATGTGGGATTGTGTTTTATGGAAATGCAAGTAACTCGAGGGATTATGCTTGTAGAGTACGAGACGTATACCGTTGTGTGATAAACATAGGGTGTCCAACCTGATTGTAATTCATTCTAGTCACAACTTTACCCATTTCTTAGAACGTAAGACCGTTTACATTTTAACCCTTTAAACTCTACGATCAAAATTTGAATTTTCATTTGTTGCCTCTATTCATTTCCTACAGAAGTAGTGGGAAGAAGTTGCTAAAAGATCAAGCAAATTCATCTTGTGTGATCATGCCCGTAATTCTCATGACCACTCTATTTTCCAAAGCATTGTTATTGCAAGGAGAAATTTGATGCTGATCACTCTTAGGGCTTAAAGGGTTAAGGGCTCACACATGCACGTGCACTTTACCTGACTCACAATACTGTAGCTACAGTGTATGTACAATAACATATTTTTTAATTCAAAGATGATCATTACTTGTTTTAGACACACAACTGTTTATATCTGGTTACCGTACTTGTGTAAACCTGGCAAAGAATCAGCTCGCCAAGATCAAGGTTATGGTGAGTACTGTATGCACCTTTTTTTTCTTGCTTGCCCCCTCTTTACTCTTAGCCCCTCACGTGTTGCACGCGCTTCGCTCGCAATTTTCGCTTACCTTCCAGTTTGTGTTGAGAATATAGGAGGAAGCTTAAACCATGAAAGCGACGAAAACGTTAGAAAAGTGCAATCGCGTGACTTGTTCTCATTGGCTCTTTTTCCATGTCTTTTTCATTTGTCAAATGTTGGTTAATTTTTTGTTTTCACACCATTTGATAGCTTTTCTTGTTGACACGAAAAGCTATGTGGTTTGGTATGTACAGCGACGGCCCGGACTAGAGTAAGTTATTCACACTTGAAGCATTGTGCCGGCGGGGTTGGCTGAGAGGGTTTGGTGCAATAAATGGGCCACTTCCGAGTTCCAAAAACCCTCACTTTCAAAATGAAGCTAGGCGCACACTCTTTCTTGTGAAAATGAGTTTTACTTGCATGAAAATGAAAAATGATTTCCATATCAAAGGCTGAGCACCTACCCTCGTTTTGAAACAGAGGGCCGGGGGAACTCGGAAATGGCTTATTCCATCCTCACTCCTGAATATGATATTTACTTCCGTCTTAGTGGGTTCCAGTCCTCGCTCCTACTTATTCACTTCAGCTATACGGTCAAAATACCTGTTCATACTGTACCGTAGTGTGGCACAGAACCTTTCCGATATGGGACGCTCAACTTTAGAGATTGGCGCCGCACAGCTTCGCTCCGTAACAGAAATCGCGCCGAAATTACCGTTGTTGTATGTGATCCGTAGCCCTATCCAGTATCTGGTATAGTGTGAACATAGCTATTGCCGCTCTCGTACCCGTCGCCGTTGGCGTTGCGTAGGCTTCGTAGTAAGACTGTGAAAAAAAGTACTTTTTATTTGAGTGTCAATGCATATAGCACGAAAGTACTAATTGGGACACTATATTTTACGTCTCAAACTGGAGACGGGACCGCCATTTTACGTGGTCATCCGAGCCACGCGAAGGTCTAGCCTGTTGCAGTGCAAAGGGAGTACCTTCATTTCTCGGTTATTTTAAGACCCTGAGTATTGGTCCGGCCCCAGGAATCGAACCCGCGACCTCCCGCTCTGCAGTCAACACGCTCTACCGACTGAGCTAACACTGCCGCGGTAAAAACACTCTTACACCTTAGTATCTGAATGTACCCTCACCATTTGTTGTTATATTGTAAGTGTAATATCTCTTGATTTACAGCTAAAGTACACAGATGATCCAGACATCAGTGTAGCAAGTCCGAGCCAACCAGATAGTGCTGAAGAAGAGATTGAACGAGTGGGCAGACTGTTTGCAGCGTTAGAAGGGAGACGACAAAGTTTAACAGGTAAACATTACGAAGGAGTCTTCATCTGCAACAATAACAGACAAGTAGTGAGCTCATACTTCTTGCACTAGACGTTTTCAGTTGGATTTGTTTTTTCCTCAGCAACGCATGCTTTCATTGGCCATATCGAGGCAATCTTATCGCCAGAGCCTTTGTTTCACTTATCTGTAATGGAATTTTCAATTTAGATTTCAAGGAGGGTTTGAAAAGACGAGTTTCCGCTGAAAGTGTTTGAAAACTCCTTGAATGTTTTGTTCAGATGGGAAATAATGTAGTATTATATCAAAGTAATTGGAAAAACCCAGTTGTTGGTACTCCTTGAGTCTTATAACTTGATATCAGAGTGTACTGTGGTACTTTAACATGTGGTGATATATTTTCATATGAACGTCCTCCTTTGTGTGAACGATAATGAGCTTGAACTGTATAAAACAAAATTTAAACCATTGATGAAACCAACATCCTCTACTTGGTCCCTTAGGCCCTGCCTCAAAAACGCACTCTTATTCAGTGGAGTTGGTTTTAAAGATATGTATTAGCTCTTGTATGTTCTATTTTTGGTGGAGGTCATCCCACTGCGTGAAAGAATAACAGTTATCTCCCGGATACTTAATGCTACAGAACCAAAAGGAAGCTTCGGCTACACGCATGTTCTCTTCTTTTTGGCTCATAATTGTAATTTATACATTTTAATCGTGCGCTTAAGGTGGCTCGACTGGATTTTTTGGGGTGGATACCTCCCAAGTTTGAGTATTAACTATGTCGCCATGAGTAAAGATATGAGAAAAAGATTACCACAACTGTATTATATAATGATGAAAATTTCTTATGATCTGGGTTTTATTGCAATCGGAGTCGCCATGGCAACGTAACGACGCCATTACGTTTTTTATTTATCTTTGTGTTTCTCTGTACCAAGAGTTTTTTTTAAGAAATCGCTTAAGGGATTTTGTACCTGCCATAATTTGCCTAATTATGGCAAAGTTTGAACAAATTCTATGAGAGCGTTTTCGAGATATTTTGAGACGAAGTTTTAAGCCTCATAAAAACAGTGAAATAGCATGCTGTCCACACAATTAGCTAATTTTTTAAGAAAATGATAAGCTTTGGAAACGCGGCTTCATCTCATAATGGTTTGATTCCATTGAAAACTGCGTACAAAAAAAAGAGGAGAATTGCTCCGGGTGATCTCGAGTAAGAAAATTTTAGTAACTTGCATTTAGCTGCTTTTGTTACAGTTTTTGCACATAATTTGGTCCATGCCTACAAATTTCGCATTTTTCAAAAAACCGCTCGATAAATTTTTTTATAAATTTTGCAATCCCGAGATCAATCGTCTATAGATATACCCTGCAAGTTTTAAGAACATTGAAAACAGAGAAGGCTTTTAAATAGGGCCTCAAATATAACCAATTTTCTCCCCAGGTTTTGTGTTTACAAGTGAGCGTCCTCATTATTCACTGGCATTGTTCCCAAGTTTTATATGCACGTGCCCATTTAGTGGGCACGTATTTGGTACAGAGAAACACAAAGGTAAATAAAAAACGTTATGGCGTTGTTACGTTTTCATGGTGACTCCGATTGCAATAAAACCCAGATCATAAGAAATTTTCGTCTTTATATAATACAGTTGAGGTAACCTTTTTTCCATATCTTTACTCATGGCGACGTAGTTAATGCTCAAACTTGGGAGGTATCCCCCCAAAAAAATCCAGTCGAGCCACCTTTTAACCTGAGACAAGGCCCAAGTTTAGCAGTTTTCATATATTCTCTCATACGCATTCGCGCTTTAATAGGGCTCTCTATTCGTTTAGCCTTGCCCGCCGGAATTTCAATTCATATACCAAGCGAAAAAAAATAGAGCCAAATCTCAGGCTATCTTGCGCTATTCGTAGCCTTGTGTATATGCCTTAAATTTTTCTTTGAACATTTTGTTACAGAGCGTAGTACTGCGGATCCAAAGCCCAGCAAAGGCAGCTTGACAAGGGACTTCTTGCTTGCTTGTGCTTCATCCCCTATTGCTCAGCAGCGCCCAGCTGATCTTAGCTTAGATAGGACAGAGGATTGGGTCCAAGCCATTGTGCTAGTTAATGTGAGTATCAGAGTGTTTTAAAAAATAATTATGTAGGGTATTTGCTCTTTGTGGAGTTGCCTGCGAATACAGACGCCTCCATCGCTGCCGTCTTGAAGGGACCCTGATAGCAGAGCCTTACCTTCACCAGCTCGATTTTAGCGTAATCGAGAAAGACATTGCACAAATAGAGTTAGATAGTTATTGAGCATGTGCAGCTTCTTACTGGGATACAGGTTCGAACGCCTCCCTAATAGCTGTGCGCTTGGTACATGAACATCGGGCTTAGTTACGAACATCGACTTATCAATAAGTGGATGCTCGCACTCGGAAAACCAGTTTGACGAGAGAACACAAGATTGACTAGTCCAGAAGTTCGGCTTTTCGGCGATTTCACAAGCTTGACGCGATTCAGGCCGAGCTTCCTCATCTCCTTCACTCAAGAAGACAAAAGGAGGCACTGTTCGCAAGGTGCCAGCGAGAGGGAACGATGAGGGAAGCCTGTATTCGCAGGTTATTCGTGGAACTGTGCGTCTCATTTAGCGTCTTTTTTTGTGGAGCGGTGGAAGTTATTTGCCCGAAGGTTCTGCAATTTTTGTCAAAGCCGTGTGTTTGTCAGTCACCGTTTGGCGCATCTGATGTAAACACTTACCTTTATCTTCCAAATGCACCCAAATGAAGTTAAAATGTTATCCGGTTCGAAACAATGGCAATGGTAGGACTATGTCGGTGTTATATTTCCCAGTGGGACTGGTTTTGGGACGCTATCGCTTCTCTCATTGGTTATGATTACAAAGTTGCGCGAGAAATTGGGTGGAAATTAGCTTAAAAACTATTTACTTATATTACTTTTTGTTATTTTCAGGGAAGAAGAGGCGAGGAGGTTCTGTTGGGACAAAGGAGAGGCTTTGGATCACCTTCGGGTAATTTGGATTCTAGAACAAGACATCCGTCAGTCTAGGGCCTCATTATTTCTATTAACTGTCGACCTTTCATTATGGGATGTCTCATCATCGCAAAAATGTTGTTGAATGAAACAAGTGCGTTCAACGCAACGTAAACGCAACTCACCGGGCACTGCCCTTAATCTGAAAGGAACAAGTTTGTGTTTGGGCATGCATGATTTAATATAAATGACATCGTTCTCTTGGCATCTAGACCTTGCTGGTGTTATTCAACGTAGCATCTTCAAACAAACAAAGAGAAATCATTTTTTAATGGGATTTACAAGTACCAGAAGAGGTTGATTGATCTTCACAGCCCCTCTGAGATTTTCAGGCAAGTCACAGCCATCAGTATTGAGCTTGGATTAAAAGTTGAAGTGACTGATGTTTAAAATGGTGCAAGAAAGGATCAACAATCAATTCAAGTACAACTTTACCGTTAACGTGTTTGACGGTGTAATGAAGAATTATTCTAAAGACCCAGGAAAAAAGTAAAATGGTGACGAACCTGACTTTTTTGGACACCTTTCAAGACGGTCGAAGAGATGATCCCAAACATTTATTGACAAAAATTCAGAAATACACATTTTAGCGGTATAAATTAATATATAATTTCGTCCAGTTTTTGTTGGGACATGACGTGAGGAAATTGATTGAAGTTTATTTGAAATACGAGGTAGTTTTTAACTTGTTTCAGTTGGTTGAGTTCCTTAGATGAATTAAATTTGACCACCATCGTCGTGAGTAGAAAACCGAAGTTTTGTTATAAATGCAAGTTTTTTGTTTTCTCCAAAAAGTGACCAACACCAATTTTCTCCTAACACAGCGTAACACAGCCTTGCAATGTTGGAACAATGTTTTATAACCATTCGAAACAATGTCCCAACAATATTGCAACGCTGTGCTGCGCTAAAAATCGTCTCGTGTAACATCACCTTTAAGGGAAAAGGTTATGAGGACTAATAAACTGATCACCGAAGAGAAAATGCATTAATCTTTGATCAATAAACGTGATGTTGTAAACGGAACGATTCGCAACTACCATTTATAGCGCAACACAGCGTTGCAATGCTAGAACAATTCGAAACAAATTGTCGCAGCAATGTCGCAATGCTGTGTTGCAATAAAAATCGTCCTTGCAAAATTAATCGTCTCGTGTAACATCACCTTAACTCTTTAGGAAAATTTATGGAGAAAAGTCCGGAGAATTTATATGTAAATTATTGGGGCTTTGAAGGGTTATTTTAAAATCCTATCGTAACGTCAACGTCACGCGGCGAAAATCAACGCTCATTTCTAAGCTGATTGCTTAAAATACGACGAAGATCGGTAGTGCTATTCTGATTCTTTATAATCGTACAGAGATTCTAGCAACTACATTGCGTGGCACGAACGATGTGAATAAAACGTTTGTGGTGTAACTTAGTGGGTACTGAAAGCTGGTAAGCTTGTTTTTCGAATTTCCAAACAAAGCGAGAGTTCTTTTGATGTCTCTCAAAAAACGAAATATCAAATCTTTCGCTTGAAAGAATTCCCTTTGCTTCTACGCGAAAATAGTTTGCGACGCATTGCTCTGCTCTTTCCCAATTGAAACGCGTAAACTGTAGTTGCCATAAGGGACTGGTCAAAAAGTATAGGGGGGGGGGGGGGGGGGGGGGGCGGGGGCATTGGAAAAGGGGGGGGAAAAAAAAAAAAAAGGGGG